CCCCACAAACCCCAAATCCCCACATCCCCAACATAAACCAACCCCTGGTTTTTGGTTGGCCAGGAAAGAGGGAGGGGTTGGGTTTTGTAGGTCCTAGGAAAGTCTAGGAATATTATTTAGTACTTCCTTCATTTCAATTTATTCGAACATGTTTGACCGGACACAGAGTTTATGAAAAAATAAAGATTTTTTAAATTTGTGGTCCTAAACAAGTAAAAAAGGTGCCAAAAATATTTGCGTGATTATAAAAACTTATCATTATGGGTAAAATTGAAATTTTAAACTAAATTATTTCCAAATTTAGAAAGGGGTCATTCTTTTTGAACAGACCAAAAAGAAAATAGGTTCACATAAACCGGAACAGAGGGAATACTTAATATTTTGGTTTAACAAGAAGAGTATATCGAAAACAATCTTTCTATTTTCATAAGGTAGGAGTAAGGTCTGCGTGCATACTATCTTCAAAAATATACCGGAATTGTTGTTGCTGTTCATTTTGGTTTAACCAGAATTTGCTCCCCCCCGCACGTCTCATTCAGATTTGTGCAGCAGGTCCATTAGTAATTACTCCTTCCATGTCAATTTATCTGATGTAGTTCGAGTTTCGAGAGTCATATTAGTAACTAATTTTAATCGTGAATTTAGATATTGAATTTTTAAAGTTTTAAAAACTAAATTTACATATTTAAAAACTACATAAAAAATATTACAAGTCACAGTAATTAATAGTTTAAGATATTTAAAAGGCATATGAAAAAAATATAGTTAAAGAAAAACTCATTTGACTCTTAAAATCAAAATACATCACATGATTTGGGACAAAAAGAATAGTAATTTTTCCATTCTAGGGATCAGGGGCGGATGTAATGTATTACCGACGGGTTCAATTGAATCCATAACTTTCGACGTGGATTAAAAATTTATATATAAAGATTCATTAAACTACAAAAATAATATATATAAACCTATAAATTAAAAATATAATAGGTTCAGTGTTAATTTTGAACCCTGCGATTAAAAGTGAAAAGATCTATCTATCCCAATATCCCATCATAATATTTTTATAAAATATTATAGACTTGAATTTAGCAATGTTAGCAATTTTGTGGAGGGTGTCCATGCCATGAACCTATCCCCAATGGGGTCAACAATTCTACATTGTCAACGGTTTTGTTTTATCAAATCAAAAACCAACACGTGGAATTCAAGAGCTGGATTTAGGAAACTAGGTACTGTTTCTTTTCTTGATTTTTCCCCCTCCTCTCTATATAAGTAGAGCTTTCACTTTTCTTAATTCCCACCATCTCCTCTATATTTCAAGTTCATAACATATATATAGATACCAACTCAGCTCTATATATATATTTCTCTTTTCAACTTTTGAGTAAAATATAATGTCTCCTGCATTGGCAAAATCTACTGAAAGATTGAATAATGAAGCTGAAGATTACAATAAAGGAGTGAAGTATTTGCATGAAAGTGGCATTAAAAGAGTTCCAAAGAAATACATCCTCCCTATTTCAGAACGTCCAAATTATTATGCTATAAATGGAAAACCACAATTAGCTAGCAAAGAACTCAATCTTAAGCTGCCAATCATAGATTTTGCTAAACTCCATGGCCCTAATCGAGCTCAAGTTCTTAATTCACTATCCTATGCTTGTGAAAACTATGGATTTTTCCAGGTAAACTAAGATTCCTATGAAAGTAACTTTGTGACACACTTTCATTTTTAGTGTGTCTCGAAAAAATGATATCTTTTTATATTTAGAAATAATTAAATTTTAGATTTTTATTTTACCCTTAATGACATGATATTATATATAGTTAGAGAAATGTCTGTCATATTTTAGATCATAATAATTTTTTTTTAAAAAAATTCTCTATACCCCACGTCCAGTTAAACAACATAAATTGAGAAGGAGGAAATATATCGTTTTAGGAGGTCTTAATGACTATGTATAGAACATATACAATTTTTACAATACCATAGTTTGCAATTCCTAGCTTAGTTGTACCTGACCAATGGCGGAGCCACCTTATGGCAAGGTATCAACTAATATCCTTTCTTGCAAAAAAATGCACTGTGTAGATAGGTGAAACCAATTTTTATAGTCAATATATAATATATATTGACTCTCCTTGATTTTTTCGTATATTTACTTTTATATACTATGACACCCCCTTAATAAAAATTCTGGCTGTGTATCTGACGTCCCTTTTGGGGGAGGGAGATGGGGGAGGATAACACACAATTCTTGAATTGATGAAAGTTAATATTTAGATTTTTAAAATATAGAAATGCATTTTGAAGTTGTTATTTTTATGGTTTCATGCAGTTGGTAAACCATGGAATTCCAGATGAGGTTATAAGAAGCATGGTTGATGTTGGGGGAAGTTTTTTTAATCTGCCATTATCAGAAAGAGAGAAGTACATGACAACAGACATGACTACACCAGTTAGATATGGAACAAGTTTTAATCAAACTAAAGATGGTGTCTTTTGTTGGAGAGACTTTCTTAAGTTGGTTTGTGATCCTCTTCCTGATGTTCTTCCTCATTGGCCTTCTTCTCCCACCGATTTTAGGTAAGAAGCTACATTTCACATTAAAACATACTGATAGCATAAAAAGTTTTTTTACATCATAAGTATATACTATATATAACTTACGAAGTGGAGTATTGGAACAACGGTAAAATTGTCTTTGTGTGACCTATAGGTCACAGATTTGAGACGTGGAATCAACTATTAATACTTGTATTAAGATATGCTGCCTATATTATACCCCTTGTGGTGTGTCCCTTCTTCGAACCCTACGTGAAAGTGGGATGCTTTGTACATCTGGTTGCCATAGTATATATAACTAAACTTCTCTTTTTGATGATACTTCAACTTTCTCATTCATTTTTCAATTGAGTTCAAATTATATATATCGGTCCAAGAAATTTTCATAATATCAGGTCATCTTTACCTATAGTAGATGGTATATTGTCTTATTTTTAGATTATAAATTTTACATTTTAAGAAAGCGTACCTACAAATATTCGTTGGGTAGGGTAACCTAGTGGTGAAGCCACATGGTCACATGCCCTTCGTCGAAAAATTATACTATCAAAATATTACGTTTTAGAGGTATATAATATATATTGAACACCCTTTTGTGGAGAATTTTTTTCACTTCTTTTAAATTTGAATACCTTTGGAAAAATTCCTAACTTCGCTACTGGGGTAGCCGGCAAATTTCTGCTGAATATTACTTGAACTCTTATGCATTATAGTTAGTTTCTTCATGCATGGTTATAAGCAAAAGGCTACAAGCCCTAACCTTAACAACAAAACATGTACGAGATAATTTGTTGTAGTATACTATTATACTCCCTCTGTTTCAATTTATGTTAACCTATTTCCTTTTTAGTCCGTGCAAAAAAGAATGACCCCTTTTCTTATTTGGAAACAATTTACCTTTACACAATAATTTATAGCCACACAAAATATATGTGTCTCATTTTACACCACAAGATCAAAAGTCTTCTCACTTTTCTTAAACTCCATGCCCAGTCAAATGGGTTCACATAAATGGAAACGAGGTAGTATTATTTATTTGAATAGTAAGGGTCATAATCATCTTTATATTAAACAATTTTATAAATTCATTCAATTTTGTATTTAAACAGGGAACAAGCAGTTGGATATGCGAAAGAGACCAAATTCTTGTTTTTAAAGTTAGTGGAAGCCATACTAGAAAGCCTTGGCATAACAACAAAAGACAAGACACAAAATGATGATGTTGAAGAAATGTTAAAAGAATTTGAAGATGGAAGCCAGCTAATGGCAGTCAATTTCTACCCTCCTTGTCCTAATCCTGATTTGACATTAGGAATGCCACCCCATTCTGATTATGGATTCCTTACCCTTCTTCTTCAAGATGAAGTTGAAGGTTTGCAAGTCAAGTGCCATGGAAAATGGGTCACTGTTCAACCTATCCCTGGAGCTTTTGTGGTCAATGTTGGTGACCATCTCGAGGTACGAAATATTTCAGAGTTTAATTTCTATATATTGACATTCTAAAAAAAAATTATAAGCTACTATTTCGCCTAATAAATAATTGTATGCACAAAGGGGGATTCGTGACATAAGTTTCATAGGTTTTCACCGGCAAAATTTAGACGTTCGAGATTATGGGTTCAAAATTTAATATTTTTTGAAAATTCATATGCTTTTTATGTATACTTTTGTGGTTCATAAAGAAAATATTGGGTTAAGTTGAATCGATTGTTTATATGCTCCATTTGTCACAGACTAATAACCGTCCATATAAATTGAAATTAGTAGCATGAAAGATAAGGGGAGTTACCGGCTTAAAAAGGTTATAATACACTGATAATATTAGAAAAATATTATGTTGTTAATGTGTGTATGCGTGTGCGTGCGCGCATATATATGTATATAAATATACAAAATACAGTCCAGTGAACAAATCGTCATACGTTCATGTAGGGTCCGAAGAAGGGTCGCATCCTAAGGGGTGTGATATTATAATTTTATCAGTGTATGATGTATATATATCTGAAGTATGTATGTTCAAATATTTTATACTGTCATAAACACTAAAGTATTAACTCAAAAACCAACTCTTTTACTTTATTGTCACGTTCAAAGTTCATAATTTGACATGATTTTTTGTGTGATTTTGTGACAGATATTTAGCAATGGGAAGTACAAGAGTGTGCTACATAGAGTTCTTGTGAACTCCTTGAAGTCAAGAATTTCAGTGGCTTCTTTACATAGTCTTCCATTTAATAGTGCAGTAAAGCCATGGCCTAAACTAATTAGTGAAACAAATCCAAGAAATTACAAAGATACAAATTTTGCTGCATTTCTCGAATACATAAAATCTTGTGATTCCACCAACAAAAGTTTCCTCGAGACCAGGAAGTTAACTTTGAACTAAAGAAGAGAAAGAAACTCCAGACAATTTTGGAGAAGTTTTGTGTATTTTGACTTTTTCATTAGTATTATTTTAATTTTTTTGATTGGTTGGATCAATTATTTAGAAATTATTGGTTTGGTATATAGTTTACATCACTTGACGACATATTTGTATTGAGCTTATAAATGTATATATAAATACAACAGCTCTAGCTTCTTCCAATCATTTACGAGGAATCTACCCCTCTTCTTTCCGCTTGTAATTTGTAATCATGTTTTGAATAATGAAAAAGATTGCTTATTATTTATTCAAATTCTTTATTTCAATTTGAAGTTTATTAATGAAAGGAAAAACGATGGGTATTTATTCGTAATCTTGACACTGAAACCACGGTTACATCAAAATAGCACCTGGAAAGGACAAAACATTATACTAAAAAAGGTTCGAGTGTTAGGAGAAGATGTTAGAGAAAAAAGATTGAACAATTGAATTCAAAGAGAATTTAGACCTAACTCAATTGCAAAATCTAATTCAAGGGATAAAGATTGTCCAAAATATACAATGAGATAACAACTCATTCGGCTAACTAATGTGCACCATGCACACTATGTGTTAACATATGAAGCATGAACAATAGAACATGGTATAGTTAAACTAAGAATAAGGATATGTTGGGATATGTTACTATGATAAGAAAACGATATTTGATGTGTTTAATTTGGTAAATGAAGGAATTTCAAATTTTCTCATGTTTGGTTGGCCAAATTATTTTGGAAAATATTTTCCTTATATTTATTTTACTTCTTGTAACGACCTGACTGGTCGTTTTAAGTATTTGCACTTTGCTCGGAAGTTTGACGGTATGAGTAGCTTCGTATGATATATTATGACTTATGTGAATCGTCGATTTTGGTTTTCAAGTTATTCAGAATCGATTTGGGAGAATGAATTTCATGATTTAAGCTTTAAGTTGGAAGAGTTGACCAAGTTTGATTTTTTTTAGTATTTGACCTCGGATTGGAGTTTCGATGGTTCCATTAGGTCCTGATAGTGATTTTGGACTCAGGCGTATGACCGAATTTGCATTTGGATGTTTCTAAAAGATTTCAGCACAAATTGGTGAAAATTAGAATTTGAAGGTTTGGAAAGTTTATAAGTTTGACTGAGAGTTGACTTTGGAGATATCCGATTCAGATTGTGGTTCTGTGAATTGAAATAGTTTCGTTATATCCTTTGGGACTTGTGTGCAAAATTTGAGTCCATTTCGGGTTAATTTGATATATATGTTTCGGCACGAGTTTTCGAAGTTGAAAAGTTCAAAGTTCATTAAGTTCGATTTGAGGTGCGATTCGTCGTTTCGATATTGTTATGCGTGATTTGAGGTCTCGAGTAGGTCCATGTTGTGTTTCGAGAATTGTTGGTATATTCGAACAGGGTCCCGAGGGGATCGAGTGAATTTCGGATGGATTTCATATCATTTTAGCATTGGTGTGTTCTCCTGATTTCTGGTATCACATTTCTTCATTACGATCGCGGAGGGCGATCGCATAAGGGAAAAAATAGAGTAATTCTTCGTCTACACGTTAGCGAGTGATGGTCCGCGTTTGCATAGGTTGTGGCAGATTGAGCATCGCGTTGGTGCTGGTGAGCAGGCGTTCGCGTAGTGGTTTGGACTAAGCTAGGGCAAGAGAAAATTCTTCAACGCGTTCATGAAGGTATGAGGTAGTGTTGTTCGCGTTCACGTGAGCTATCTCGCGATCGCGTAGTGTATTTTGAGAGGCTGCTGAGTTTGTTTTTCGCGATCGCGAAGGATGCCCCGTGATCGCATAGAGTATTTCTTTCCAGTGAATATAAAGTACTATATTTTGAGGCGATTTTTGAAGCAATTTACGTCGCGTGAATTGGGATAAGTATTCTACACTAGTTTTTTATTTTATATCATGACTCTTTTTTCGTTTTTGGCATTTGATCGAGGGTTTCAAGAGAGAAATTTTGGGGTTTTGCCTAAAGTTTCATAATGTGAATTTTTAAGTTTCGAACGTCGACTTGGAGTCACATTTCAGTGAAACTCGTATGGTTGGACTCGTAATTGAATGAATTATCGGATTTTATGAGTATTATCGGGTTCCGAGGTGCAAGCCTGGTTTGACTTTTGGGTTGATTTTTGACTTTTGATTAAAGATTCGGCCTTTATTGATTGGGTTTGTTACCTTTGGAATTATTTGATGTATTTGAGTTTCTTTTGCTAGTTTCGAGCCGGTCGGAGGTCGGTACGTGAGGGATGGTATTTTGGAGCATCATTTGGCTTGCTCGATATTAGAGTTGGCTTGTTTAAGGTAAGTAACACTTATAAACTTGGTACTGAGGGTATGAAATCCCGAATTACGTGTTATGTGATTGATGTTGAGGTGGCGTGCATGCTAGTGACAGGCTTGTGGGTGTGCACCGTGTGAATTGTGATTTAGTCGATTCCATGGAACTGTGTAGCTATCGTATCTGAACATTTTTCCTGTACTCTATATGTTATAGCACCTAAGCTATAATTTATGCTAGAAATCATGTTAGGCTATATGCTGGTACTATTGGGACTCACAGTGATGTTCTTTGTTGTTGAGTTATTTTCTTAATTCCAGTCATGTTCTCAGTCACATTCATCATTTCATATCATATCTCAGTCTCTGTTATCGTATATTGTCACATCTCATATAATTGATTAGGGCTGCTTAGCATGAGTGTTGTGAGCCTGAGAGACTGGAGATATTGATGACTGAGTGAGGCCGAGGGCCTGTTGCAAGTGATATTTATGGGATCAAGTTGCATGCTACAGCAGGCTTTATTGATTCATGCTAGGATTTAGCTTATTATAGCTCTTGGGCTGGATCGACCCCTCTGGAGTATGCACATTCACAGTGGGCGCAATTGCTAGAATCCATTTACGTTAAGCTTGATCTGCCTTGGTTCATTTGCATTGGGTTGGATGTGTCCTGATTTACTTGCATTTTGGTTCATTTGTATTGGGTTGGATCTGCCTTGATTTATTTGCATTTGGATTGGATCTGCCCTATACAATATTGAGTGACTAAGTGTTGTGAGTATTGAGCATGATGAGTGAGAATATGAGACAGTGAGATTGAGTACTCTGAGAGTGTGAATACATGTATTCATCATTGAGATGCATTGAATTTGACATGCGTACTTGAGATAGAGGCATAGAGATGTATTTCCTCATGCTACTTGATTTTGGTAACATTCTTCATATCACCTGCATATGACATGTAGGCATAGAGATGAACTTTCCTCATGCTATCTGAAAAATGAAACCTCTTATTTATTATTGAAAGATTTTTTGGGAAAATCACTGTTTTACAAACTTACTCATATATTGGTGTTTTCGGTAAAAGATTTGGATTTTTACTGTTATACTTAAAAAGCATACCTATTTTCCGTAGTGAACGAACTGAGTTATTTCTTGTACCATCTTTATTATATTGTTATCAACTGTTACTGGTTATTGGAGTTGTACTCTGTCCCTTGTCCCAGCTCGTCACTACTTTCAACCTAAGGTTGGTTTGTTACTTATTGAGTACGTGGAGTCGGTTGTAATTATACTGCACTTCTGCACCATGCGTGCAGATGTTGGATGCTAATGTTGTTGTGTACGGCGGGAGATGGATTGGGAGATGTACCTGCATTCTAGTTATGGCTATCACTTATCCTTGATAGCATTAGATTCGAATTTTGTTCAATTATATTTCAACAGATGTTGTACTTATTTCAATTCGTTTTTTGTAAAAATCTAAATCGTAGAAGCTAATAATTTGTACTACCAGTTCTTGGGAAATTCTTGTATAAAAGCACTTGTATTATATTTTATTCTCTTAATAAATCTCATTAAATTGGATAATTGGTTATTGGCTTACCTAGCGGGTTGGGATTAGGTGCCATCACGACTAGTTGAATTTTGGATCGTGACACTCCTATTGGAGAAAAATGACTTCCCTACATAAATGATGAAAAATATTTTCCAAAACTCTATTCTTTCAACCTTTTCCACCCCAACCCCTACACTCAACCCCCAATTCGCACCCTTACCACCTTAGCCCCGGACCCCCGACCTCACCTAAACCATCCCGACCCACACCCCCAGCCCACCATCTAACCCCCTCCTTAGCAAGCCTTCCCAACCCCAACCAACCNGTGTTTGCCTAAATTGTATATTTTTCATAAAAATATATTTGCTAACTTGTTAGGTTTTTTAAGCATTAAAATAGGCTTAAAAGAGGGTGAATGGGAAGTGGAAGGAAAATGAAATATTTGAGTTTCATTTGAGATTCCCTCCTTGACAAAGGGACATTGTCCCATATTGAAAGAGGAAGAGAATTTTCATGGGTATATAAGCAATTGCTCTTCTTCTATGTTGGCCTAACTAAAGGTGAGTTTTGAAGACTGACAAAGGAACTCAGACATGGACCAGGTCCATCCTAGTGAAGCACGGATATGGTCAACTCAAGCATGTGAGATGCACGTGAAGGAGATAAACCTAACTTACCAGAAGTGATATCTCATGATCATGATCGAAAAGGTTGCATATTAGATAAGGAGAAAGATTCCTTACACAAAGAGAACACTGCTTAAGAGAAGGATAAAGTTAGAGGATGAGATTAACTAGAACTTTTTCACCAAGGAAGAGTAGCATCAGAATTCTAGTCAATCTCTATTTCCTAACTCGATAAATATCAGCGTTGTTCTCTTTTACAAGTGATGCACATAAGCAAAAGTTAAACGTGAATTGAGAGCAAAATAGCAAGGCAATTTTGCAAGCAATTTGTGTGTGATTCAAGAGTGCAAACCTTAAGCTACTTGAACTAGATAGAAGAACCAGTTCCAAGTGTCTATCTTTTATTCTAGTTCTTTCTAGAAATAATTGTATGAGGTACTCAGAGTTTTCAAATTAGAGTTAACTTGAAGTTGTTGCAACAGTTGAGGTTGTGTGCTACAATGGGATTAGAGTTAATCTTAGGTTTACAAAAGCGTTTTTGTAAATGTAGTTTGTGGCTCATTGATTTTAGTGGAGAGTTTGGGAAAATCCTACTTGAAGGTAGGTCATAGTTTTTTTACCTTTTGAGCCAGATGTTTTTCACGTAAAATTTCTTTGTTCTTTAATTTCTGTACTTATTATTTCGCAACAGTAGTAGTTGGAACACATAGAAGAACCAGGTCATTCT